TGTTAGCCCAGGGCCAGTCTTCCTCAGCAAAAAGAGGAGGATTGGCAACGGATGTTAGCTCAGGGCTGATCTTCCTCACCAAAAAAAAAAAAAAAAAACTCCAGTAAACAGACTAGACACAGCTGCAGAGAGAAGTAATAAACTAGAAGATAGGTCTCAAGAAATTACCTGGAATGTAGCTCAGACGGAAAAAAGAGATGGAAAATAAAGAGAGATTTAAGAGACATTTAGATCTGACATATGTCTAGGCAAAATTCCAAGAGGAAGAAATAGAGAGAATGAGAGAAAAGAAATATTCAGACATAATGGCTGAGAAATTTTCTGGATTAATAAAACACAAGAATTCTCAGAGACAGACAAATACAAATTAAAATAAAGAAATCCTCATCTAAACACATCACAGTAAAATTTCAGGAAACAAAGAGATTGTCTTAGAATCAGGCAGTAACTACAAAGAAATGGCAATATTATATCACTCCCCTCCTGGCAAGGAATGGTTAGTTAAAGAGTTATAAGATCTTTGCATTGTTTGAAAAGAAGTAAAGATGTTGATTAAGTTTAGCCTCTGTCAGCTTATTCACCTATGTATTCATTCAACTAACACCTAAATATTTAAATTTGTGTTTTAGTAAAAGTTAAACAGTAATTACTAAAAGAATAGAAATAATCATAAAACTTTAAATATCAATTGGAGAAAACTGTAGAATGAGAAAAAATTCAATCAATGCAAAATAAGAACAGAGAGGAAATAAAAAGAAACATTTTAAAAAGTGAGACAGGGGCCAGCCTGTTGGTGTAGTGGTTAGGTTCACACACTCCGCTTCAGTGGCTGGGCTTCGCAGGTTTGGATCCCAGGCATGGACCTACACACTGCTTATCAAGCCATGCTGTGGTAGGCATCCCACATATAATATAGAGGAAGATGGGCATGGATGTTAGCTCAGGGCAAGTCTTCCTCAGCAAAAAGAGGAGGATTGGCAATGGATGTTAGCTCAGGGCTAATCTTCCTCACCAAAAAAAGAGTGAAACAGGGCCAGCCAGGTGCCTAGGAGTTAAGTTGGATGCACTCCACTTCAGTGGCCTGGGTTGGTTCCCAGGCACAGACACACACCACTTATCTGTCAGTGGCCATGCTGTGCTGGTGGCTCACATACAAAAAAGAGAGGAAGACTGGCAGCAGATCTTAGCTCAGGGCGAATCGTCCTCCAAAAAAAAAAAAACAAAAGTGAGACAAATAGAAAGCCAAAAAATAGAAGATGACTATAAATCAAGTTATATGAGTAATTGTAATAAATACAAATGGACAAAATAGTCCACTTAAAATACAAAGATAGGGGATGGCCCAGTGGCACAAGTGGTTAAGTGCACACACTACGCTGCAGCGGCCTGGGGTTCGCCGGTTCAGACCCCGGGCACGCACCAACGCACTGCTTGTCAAGCCATGCTGTGGTGGTGTCCCATATAAAGTGGAGGAAGATGGGCATGGATGTTAGCCCAGGGCCAGTCTTCCTCAGCAAAAAGAGGAGGATTGGCAGATGTTAGCTCAGGGCCGATCTTCCTCACAAAAAAAATAAATAAAATAAATAAATAAAATACAAAGATAGAATGTATTTTTATACAATTCATCCATATGCTATTGACAAGAAACATGTCTAAAACAAGGATACAGAAAGACTGACAGTAAGGGGATGGAAAAAAAAGATATAATAATTAAATTGGTACAGCTCTATTAAAATCAGACTTTACAGCAAAGAGCATTCCCAGACATAAAGAGGCCACTTGTGGTCAACCTAGCAGTCATTCTCTTCTTCCTTCTCCCATTTTCTTCATTCCCTCCTGGAATCAGGATCCCACACCTCCAGCTGAAGGAGCCATCTTGTGGCAAAGAGGGTAATAGCCACTGGCTGGAGATGGTGCAAGAGGAAGACCCAAGGAACCTGGGCCTCCAATAGCACAATGGAGTGTGCCAAACCAGTCCTGGGCTGCTTCCTTTGAATAACTTTATATGAGAAAAATTAACTCCTTGCTGATTTTCAGAAAAGAAAAAAAAAATTTTAAAGAAACCATTTACAATAACAACAAAACTATAAGTTACCTAAGAATAAATCTAGATATTCCAGACATTAATAAAATCATAGAAGATTATTGAAAAATATTTACAAATACCTAAATAAATGGAAATATGTACACTATGTCCATAGAAGGGAGGACTCAGTTTTGTAAAGATGGCGTCTCCCTCCAAATTGATGCATAAATCCAATGCCATGTCAATCAAAATCTCAACAGAGTTTTCTTAGTTTTTGACTAGTGAATATTCAAAATGACACAGATCAAAAGACCAAGAACAGCAAGACAATTTCGCTGTCCCCTGAAACTCAGATAAGGAGTTGGACAAGGTAAGCATTCAGACCCAATGGTGCCCTCGTTGGCAGAGCTGTACCAGAGACAACATGGCGAGTGAAGCAGGAACGGTGCTCTGAAAAAGTTCTGAGCTTGCAGTCAGAAGACCTGTGCACAAATCTCAGCACTGCCACTTACTAGCTCCTCAACGTTGGGTCAGCTACAAATATTTCCTGAGTGACAATCTTTTCACTTGTAAAATGTGGACAATTATATCTAAAACCCATGGCTAGTGTGAGGATAGAATGATAAATACAAATATAACAGTGTCTAAAAATTGGACAGCTCAGAGTACAAATTAGTCAAACAAATGTGGATTACTGATGACAGAATTTGGGAGAACAGAAAGTACTCACCAATCGCCAAATCCCCTCTCCTCCTTCCTTCAAAGGAAGTAAAACAGAGTCTCTGAATGGGAGACTCTGTTCAAACTTCAAGAATGGCATTCGAGAAACTGGAGCTGTGTAAATCATCAGTGGGACTGAACTGTGCAGACAGAGTAGAAGGTATGGTTTTCCATGCATAGGGATAGCAATGGGGTGCCCTTCAGCAGAGATGAGTATTGTTCCCCAATTTTCATTCTTCCTTTATTTCTTTGTAAAGATCCCCTGGATATTAACTGGGCATATAACTTCTCAGAATGTAGAGTAGATTTCCCAACCTCCTTTGCAGCAAAGTATGATCAAGTGACTTAATTCTAGACAATGCTATTGAAGAGGAAGTATTGTGTGCATCTCCTGGGCAGCACTCTTCAAGAGGGAGGTTGTGTCCTTGCCCAGTATGCTCTCCTTTATGATGTTTGAAATGTAGGTGGAACAGCAAGCCATCTTGGACCATGAGGTGATTTGGGAATGGAGTACAATAGGACAGAAAAAGTGTGACCACTCGCATAACACACTACTCCTGGGTGCCCGCCTAGATGGTGGTGTGAGAAAGAAACTTGGGTTATTTTACATATTCTGTTACTTACAGCCAGACATTATTCTAATTAATACATTTTACCTCAAAAAGAACGAGGGCTAAGCCTATCCAGTCGGCACATTGTGGATAAAATCCGTCATTGAAAGAATGAATATCTCCCAGAGCAGAAGCTGGAAAACACAATGTGATTATAGCTAATTAAAAGCTGTTTATATATCTTTAAAGAAGAAGCATTGTTTGGGGCAACATGGATAAAATGAGAGTCAGAAGAGAAAAACTGGGGTGTGATCAACCAGCGTTAGGCCAAAAAGAGAGACGCCCAGCTTCTTAATTTACTTGAATTGTCTGAACCCTGTGCGTGTCCCCTCCCTATCCTACCACCTGGATACACTGAGGACATTCCTATCACCCTCCACAGAAGTGCTCTGATTTGGTCTATTCTAGTTCGGCGAGTGGGAGGTCAGCCATGGTGACCCACTGACCGTATGCCTTCTGGCCCACAGTGCAGCCCTGCCAGCTGCCTCAAATGTGGTGAGTGCCATGTTTTCCTAGACTTGCTCACGACTCTGCACTGACGTCCCCCAGAAGGGTTCCTATAACTCGCAGGAAAGCAGAATCCAGACCGTGATCTTCACTTGGGAATGTCAGTCTTGACCTGACACATCTAGCTTTGTACTTGCTCCTCA